AATACCCTATTCCATGCTTAGCCGATTTAACTGCTGCATTTGCACGGTACTAAAATTTTTAGTCATGTCGACCTGATTAAGGCATACCATCAAATACCAATTAACCCAGCCGACATCCACAAAACCGCCATATGCACACCATTCGGTTTATTCGAAAGTACCCGTATGCAATTCGGCTTATGCAATGCATCCGCGACTTTTCACGTTTTATAGATGAAGTCACGCGGATTTAGAAGGTGTTTTACGCTTTTGTCGATGACTTGCTCATAGCCTCTAAAGATTCTGAGGAACATTGCAGGCATTTGAAAGCTTTATTTTCCAAACTTCAGGAATATGGACTTTGCATAAATGTTTCAAAATGCACCTTTGGTCAACCGTCTATTGATTTCTTAGGTTTTCACCTTAGTGAAAACGGAATTGAACCTCTTCCTGACAAAGTCAAATGTATTTTAGATTTTCCTCAACCTACCACTCTCACTCAGCTTCGCCGATTTTTAGGCATATTTAACTTTTATTGATATTTCATACCTAAAGCAGCACATATTCTTTCTCCTTTAATAAAATTGTTAGAAGGCTATATGAATAAAAAGAAATCTCGTTCTCGTGTTCAGGATCCATCACCACAATTAAATTGGAACGAGAATGCTGAACAAGCCTTTATTGCTGCCAAAAATGCCATTGCTCAGGCTACCCTTTTGAGACACCCTATTCCCGGAGCCCAGCTAAGCATCTGGGTAGATGAATCAGACGTAGCAATAGGCGGCACACTTATGCAGTTGTCTCAACAACAAACATGGGAACCTATAGCATTTTTCTCTATGAAACTCAATAAAAGTCAACAGAAATGGTAATCGTACGAATAGGGAATTATTTTCAATTTATTCTGCAAATTAAGAAATTCCGACACATGTTAGAGGGCAGAAATTTTATAATTTATACGGATCAAAAACCATTAATATATGCTTTTAAACAGAACCCTCATCATAATGTTCACCTCGACATTGCGCCATTTAGATTTTATTTCTCAGTACTCTACTGATATTAGGCATATGCAAGGTTAAAAAAATGTTGTTGCTGACGCTCTTTCAAGAATCGAAATTGATTCCATAACAAATCTCCATTTTTTGGATTTTAAAAAAAATTTCGGAAGCTCAACGGCATGATCCGGAGGTACAAGACCTTCTCAAAAACAACACACATCTTGAAACTGGAATTTAAACCGTGCCAATATTCTGATGGTAATATTCTTTTGACATATCAACGGACATTCCTCGTCCATTTGTTCCAAATCCTTTCGCAGACTGATCTTTAATCATCTGCACAATCTGTCACATCCAGGAATTTTCGGCTACTACGAAGCTTATTTGTTCTCGTTATGTTGGCCGGACATGAACGTCATATCAAAAATTGGGGTGAAATCCTGTGAATCTTGCAAAAATCGAAAATTACTAGGCCATACTAAAGCACCACTGGGCACATTCTCTCTTCCTGATGCACGTTTTTCAGAAATCCATATGGATATCGTTGGACCGTTACCTCCATCAGAAGGCAACGTGGACCTTTTGACTCTAATAGATAGAATTCTCCAGATGGCCTGAAGCCATTCCCATCCCGGATATGAAAACGGAAACCATTTGCAGAGCCATCTTCAACTGTTGGATATCTCGTTTTGGCTGCCCATCGATCATAACAACAGACCAAGGTTCTCAAATGAGATCCGCACTTTTTGCAGAATTTACGCGCATTTTGGGTACGAACAGAATCACAACAACAGCCTATCATCCAATGTCCAACGGCATTGTTGAACGATTTCATCGACATTTAAAATTTTCTCTCAAGGCTCACGAAACCAATAACTGGACTGAAACACTACCAGTTGTTATGCTAGGTATCCGTACAGCCGTAAAGGAAGATCTACTGTCATCTTGTGCTGAACTGGTGTATGGCACAACTCTCAAGCTGCCTAGTGATATGATAACGTCATCTAAGATATCTCCGTATGACACTCAATTTATCACGAATCTTCGGCATAGAATGCAACATTGAATCCAATAGCAACATCTGCACATTGCCAAGAAAAGTGTTACGTAAATGCTATCTTAAAGTCGTGTACGCATGTATACTTATGTGTCGATCGAGTAAAGCCCACCTCTGTGCCAACCATATACAGGTCCGCATAAAGTCCTTTCTAGAATGGACAAAACTTTCACAATTGATATTAACGGTCTGAAATCTTACTGTGTCTATAGACCGTGTGAAATCAGCATTATTTGCTTTTGGACTCTAATTTGCCTGAACTGAAAACAAATAAAGACTTAAAGACAGTTCAGCAGATAAATCTGCAAATGAACTCTCTAAGACACAACTGTCACCAGATCGGGAAGACATGTTTCACTTCCCTAAGAAACTTGCTTTATACATAACAATTTAAACACTTTTTTTAAATTTATATCTTAACATATTTCTTGTTATTCATGTTTATTATTGTGTCATACCTTGTTATATATTGAATTTCATTTTGATCTTTTCTAATTTTATATTCTAATTTTGTAATCATGTAAAAAAACCCGACAGTACGGATCCTCAAGATAATTTCATAAACCTAGTCGTTCCTTTGAATATTAAAGGAACTGGGGGAAACTCTGTGGTGATGGCGATAAGAGCGCGCCTTGCGCCCTCCGATAAGTGTGGCAACCCTAGAGGAGAAGTTTCTTACGAGTAGCGAGCAGAGCGAAACAGGGAGGCTGTCGGGCAGTATGCGCGATGTTCCTAAATAAAGCTTAACTTTTATTGTGCACTATGTCTTGTTAATATTTATATTAATGCAGTAAGAACATAATCTGTGATATGGAATTCGAGGATTGGTGGTAAAAACATAACAGGAAAGTCACCATAGTTGATGATAATTAATTAAACAGCTTTGATGAAGTTTAATTGAATAAACTAAAGGTATTTGATTTTGATGGAAATACATTACTGACTATTTACAGAATTGTGATGTATTAAAAAAGTTACTTTGAAGAATTACTTTCGTTTTCGAATTTGATGCATAAATTTCTTATTTCTTATGATGCCTATATTTTAAAAGGACTGTAGAATATTATTTTAAGTTATTAATTTTGCTATCATATCTTAACGTGAAATTCTATTTTTCATTCTTAACATAGTCTTATAAGAAGATTGTTGTTTGACGATATATTTTACTATTTGTTTTTGAATCATATGTTCACAATTTCATTTCTGATTTTGAGTGTTTTAAACATCAGTTTATTGTGTAATATACTAAGGAATTAATATTATTTTGAAGAATAATAAAGAAAATTAAGAATATACTTTGGTATACTAATTTCTGAACCAGATAAATAATATTTGATGAAATCGAACAACATATTTGTGAATTTACATATTTGGTTAAAAACGAAACTGATAAAAATGGCTACACTTAACGATTATATCCCAACATTGCACAGTCATTAAAAACCGCCAGTACCAAGCATATCAAGCTTTTACATCGTTTAGTTTTCGGCTCAGATGGTGATCGGCAGAATCGTGCTAGGTTACACAATTTTTCTGGTTTTCCCAAACCATTTAACTTAGAAGAAACGAAACAGAAAATTATCAAAGAATTTTCTCTTGCGGAATTAATTGCCAAATGTAGCGTACTGCATTTAGAATTTTCCACCGATATTGAAAACTGTGCTAACAATATTCTTACGAATCTAGTTGATCTCTCATTATTAAAATCAGATTCCGCTGACTACAGCGACCTTGAAGAAGACGCTTTGGTGCAAAGTTCACCCTCGACACATAGCGTCGCCCAAACAGCCATTAATCACACTCCAGATGACTCTTTATGTAAACAAATGGAGGCAGAAATCTCTCTTGAAAGTGCGCCTGCAAATTTATTGGTATCAACTAACCCGCAAACACAAACTGTTCCGTTTCAATGTTTTGGCTTAAAGGACATTGTTGATTTGATCAAACCCTTTTCCCCTCGGGATAATTACAGCGTTGAAATTTTTATTTCTGACAATGATGACATTTTAAATCTCTATCAAATCAAGAATCCTGTACACCAAGTAATTTTTGTTAAAAAATGTCTTACCAGTCCAGCTTTAACTCTAATAAGATCAATTCGTGGAATTACTAATTGGGAGCAATTAAAACACCATTTATTAGATGAATTTTCGGATAAAATTAATAGTCTTCAATTACATAAAATAATGGAATCTCGTCACATGAAAACATCTGAAACCTTACAAGAATATTTTTTAGCTATGAGAGACCTCGCACAAAATGGTTCTATGGATGATTCTTCTTTCCTTGAGTGTGTGATACATGGTATTCCTGATTCATCAAACAAAAAAATAATTTTATACGGTTGTAAATCCATTCCTGAATTTAAAGAACTGAAGATTTATGAAAAACTCTTTAACAATTCAAAACATTTGAAGCAAAATACTCCAAAGAAATTTACGAATTCCTTTTCCAATGCTAAAATTGATGCTTAAACGTACATCAGATACTCAACCAGTATGCTATTCCTGTGGATTAAAAAAACATAAAAGCAATACTTGTCCAAATAAATGTAATGGCAAATTCTTGTTATAGGCTGCCAAAATTATGGTCACATTCAATTCCAACTGTCCCCCAAACATTCTGGTAGTTCTACTATGGAATCTGCTCCTAACTTGTTCTACATCTGATGGTACTGTAAATGCACTTTACACTCAAATTTTTCTAAACATCCTATGCATATTGACATTCAACTTAAAAGAACTCCAGTTAATGCTCTCTATGACACTGGATCACAAACAACACTTAATTAATGAGCAAAACATGCCGCAAAACTTGGTTCTTCACCACTGCATCCTTCCAGAATTACATTCTTCAGGACATTGGCCGAGAACACAGTTCAAAGTATTGGATTCTTTCAGGAACTACATTCAAATTCAGAACACTGTTTTAGCCTGCTAAAATGCCATGTAGTAAAAGACTATATGATTCCTCTTGATGTCATTATTGGAATAGACTTTTTGCAACAAACTCGATTTACATTTGATAAAGATGGTATTCATTTATGCAGCAATAATAATGATCAAATTTTTGTTAATGTCGCTAATGTTACTCATGATCACACATTTCCACCTGATTTTTCACACATCCCCAAATCGGAAATTTTCCAAGAAGTTCAACATATCATTACTCCTCACAACCCACACGAAGTTAAAACTGCTAAGGAAGATTTTCAGAAAATAACAGAAAGTGAAAATCAGTTGAAGAAAACAAGTAAGGAAAATAATGATGATGCACATGACGATTCAGAATTGGATTTAGATGATGACACTTTGATGGGTTTGGATTTGGATGATCACGATGACAAAGATGATGCTGATACCAATCATGGAGCTCATGACGATGATGTTGATGAAGACGGTGATGACGAAGACGAAGATATGGATCAAGATCATGATATTGATGATGACGACAATCATAACACTAATGATGCTGATGATGATGATGGCACTCATGAAGCTAATGAAGATGATGTTAATGATGTTGATCAAGATGACGTTGCTGTTGTTGATGAAGATCGTGTCAACGAAGATGATGTTGATGTCAACGAAGGTGATGTTGATGACAACGAAGATGATGTTGATGACAGTCATGAAGCTAATTGTGATGATGATGTCGATAATGATCCAAAAGTGCAGAATACTGCAGAAACTGTGAAACATGAACTGAATCAATTTGAACACGCATGTGCTGATCAAGCAAACGAGAAAACACCTAAAACACCTGCTAAAAGTGCAGAAATTCCCAAAGAACAGAAAAATAATCTAAGGAAACAACTTGTCTCTGACATTCCAGTTGAAGTTTTTGAGGCAAAAAAGAATGCTGAAATATTTGGAAGAAAAATTACTGTTTCATACACTTTATCCGCTTCACACCCAAAGATACGCAAGAAGAGAGCCTGAAAGTATAAACGAAGAAAATTTAAACGAACTCCAAAGACAATGAAATTGCTGACACAGCATGATGATGAAAAAGCTGCATTATGCATTGAAGCTCAACGGAATCTCCTCCGTTTACAGCAAGCACATACACGGCAGTATAAGAAACGTCGCAAACCTGCCTGCAAATACAACTTGGACACCAAATACCAATCCAGCCTGAACTGAAACTTCCACTTGGACTGAATCTTCGAATTGAACTGAAACTTCGTCCCAAATTATTCGGTCCTTATGAGACAGTTCATCCCTCTGATTGTTATGAAGTACGAAAGATACGCCATGAAGACACCATTATGATGTCAACCTGTGCTGATAAGACGAACCGGTGGTACACAAACCTAACATTCCGCCGCCTGGACATTGATTTTTTTTCACTTTCTCTGCTTTTTTTTTTTTTCTTTCTTTTCAGATCAACCCCCAGGCGAGGACGCCCGGCAAGGCAGAATGGCCGTGTGGTAATTCGCTCCTATAACTCGTCTGCCTTTTCCTAAATCTGGCAACAGCGACAGCGGCGAGACACTTCTTCAAGCTGCGTGAGGAAATAGACAGACTTGCATTCCGATGATGATATAACGTGGCGTTGGATGGAGCTGAACTATGCCGCTCGAGAACATTGATTGATGATGTGATTCTGTTTCATGATGACGAACTTTTTACCTTACTTCCTTTCACACTGTAAATACCATAATCATGTTTATTCTTTCATCATTAAATACCCTTAAAATGCTACTGCCTTCCTCTATTTTAATCCTAACCTCATCCTACATATATATATAATATATATGTATGAAGCTGGAAAATGGAGTATAAAAATTACAGTAAAAAAGTCTGTTGCAATGAAAAGATTGTTGTGATGTAGGGAAGATTTTGGTCAGCTAAAGTATCAAAACAGCATATTATTTGTTTCTATATCCACGAGAAAAGGCTGATTTTTCAGGAGACAGTTTTTTTGGATGCAATCATCAATAATTAAGGAAATACGAATCGTGTTTCGTCTTCCCAGCTTTAGCATTTTAAGTCCGGTTTTCATTACTTTCTACTTAAATTTTATTGAATGTTTATACAACAAATTAAAATACATTAAAATATGATGTTGTAATTAAAAATATGCGTTTCAATGAAAGGTTTGGAGAACAATCCTCAATGAAAGATATGCAGAGAAGACGTCGTAATAGCACATTTACACTTTAAGAGAACTTTAAAAATGTTAAACTATAATTTAGTTTTCCCTTAATTCTCTTGTTTTAAGCAGATAATGATTTGATAAGAAACCGCGAAAACAAACTTGAAGGCAAAAGTTACTCAAATAAGTAAAAGCAGTGAAAAATGGAATGTGCTGAAAATATAATATACTGTAAGTAACGTCAAGCAATGAATGTTTGTGACATTTAAATATTCATTTTAAAGGTAATCTAATGTTACTTTTAAGCTCCAGCCAAAAAACCATTCTTCATAACATCTGGCTGCTGTCATTTCCAGTTTCATAATACTTTTAAATCTCTTTCTCTGTTAATGGTAAACTCGAGAGTTTTTAATGCTTTGAGCTGAGTAAAGTGGAGTTCAGTTAAAAAAAGTGCAAATAACTTCATGTATGAGTATTGCTTCTGAAAATTCAGCATAAATATACAGAAAGTTTGAACTTATTTTTCAGGATAATATCTAGTAAAATTTCTTGATAAATAAATAAAAATTTTAGGATATTGTTTAAGTTTCTACTTTATTCATGAAATTACTATTATGTCGAAAAGAAAGTTGAATTGCACGTTAAAAATATGTAATATACTTCTTCTTAAGTAAACGTTTTAATAATTCTTTGAAATCACTTCGAACAGTTTCTCTTACTCAATTTTTTACTTACCATCCGATATCTATGATATCCATGATATCCACGATACTTACAAAACGGCCGCTTTTTTGCATCCTTTGTAGTGAATGAAGACAAATGAGTATTTTTTCCAAGCACTTTAATTTCATAATCTTAGATATTACGTCTTACCTACCAGACAGCACGCTGACGACTACGTATGAATCAGAAGTATAATTGTACTTTTGATAGCATGATATTATGATAATATTATGATTAATGAGAGAAAATGAGATAGGTCCGTTGGAATGAGATGATTCTTACTTAAGAACATTGCGAATCAGATTTACTTTACTGCTTTTCCTACTATTAGAACTATTATAAGCTTCGGTGTTATTGCGAGTCCTTCAAGACGGTTTCCTCTTTTGAATATTTTTTGTTGTGAGGAATCTTTTGTTCCACTTTACAGCAAACGATATCAGTAATGGAATGTTAAAATCGACGGTACGGTAACCAATGGTACGTTATTTACCAGTCTCACGGTATCTCAATCCTAGTACGCAATCGTCCATGCTGCAATCGTAATCAGCTATTACACGTTCAACATAATCTCAGCCAGTCAAGTAAACTCTGGCAGACTAATCTTATTTGAAATTTCAAGTTTAATGGTTATTTTAAGTTTACTTTTTAAAACATGAACAATAATACACTTATTTCAAACCTAATACATTTCATTTAAATACATATATTATTTATACGTATTTATTTTCATTACATTCATTTCAAAAATGTATTTGTTTTATGACTCCCACGTTCATTTTATACTTGCTGTTTATTAAACCTGTATTTATAAAGGTATTTTATTAGGCAAAAAATTGTTTTATGTGTTCTATAATAATGATGTTTAAATTGTTCAAATAAAACCATAACGTCTAACTAATTTTAACTAAGTTTTATAGTTTTGGGGGAATATATGCCCATTTCTACTTTTCGCGGTGCTAACAAATGACATGACTAAAGATCTACTTATAATCGCAAATAATGAAGGAAACACCACACGTGTGAAGGTGACAATCTACTTTCTACCTGAGAGCGTTTTATTGGATTATCTCTTTGACGTCGATTCCCTTTGATGTCCGCCACTTCTTAATAAACCTACGGAGTTTCTATATTCTGTAATTCTCATAGAAGTGGAGACGGTTCCCGGGCCACGTTGGTCAAGACTACGTCGATATCCATGATACTGTGGGTATAGAAGTTCCTGTAGTTTCTGAAAACACAAAAGTTAGAGTATTGCCAATTGGTTGAGGACTAATCTTTTCAACATAAAGATTAGGTTTCCACTATCCTCTTGATATCAGTCTTCTACTCTGCGATCCCAGGCTCTGATCATGGATTCTGGGCTGTTTAAAAGACATTAATTATTTATTTAATTTTCTTTTAAAAGGGGTAAGTTCAAGTAAATAAATTTCCTTTTATCACAATGTTTAAAAAATACATGATAATACATGATCTTAATATAGTATTTTTTAAATGCTGCTTTTCGTATATGAAGCGGGTGTGGTTTCCAAATTGATGTTTTAAAGGAAAAAGTTTGTTTACATTTGAGTGAATCCGATAAAAAAAACAATCTATGTTTTTGAAAGTTAAACAAAATCAGTTAAGACTCGATAGAAATAATAAATGGAGACAAGAAGTCTAGAACTGCTGTACAATTTTATTTTTTGAAACTATTTTAAGCACTTCGCAGACCACATGAAAAACTGTTCGAGGCAATCTTTTGTAGTCCACAGATATGAAAGAGTGCCATAGATTTACTTCCTATGAAAGGAAAACTGTATTTGGTTTCATTCTTTGTGAACTTCGTTCGATAATAAAAATGTTTCACTTTTTTCAGTTTCCTGTAGCGAATCCTTTGTGACGAGAAACAGAAATGCGCATATTTCTAGCAGAAATGGGAGAAGAAAAAGAATTCGTAGAATCTTCATTACGACCTTGCGTCTTATTGAATAGAAAACTACCGCCATCATCTGAAAGACACGTCTATTCTAATGCTAATGCTATCTCCAGGGCTGAGAGCATCATCGAAAGTTTAGCTCAGCATTTCTCGCATGCCTGAAATTCCTTTGTCTTCTCTTAGAGAATAAAATATTCTTAAAGTGAAACGTTATCATGCATTTTTCATAATAATCGTATGTTATGCTAACGAATTCTTATCCGTTACAAAGTATCGATTTCCATTTAAACTTACTTTTCCGAATTTCATCAAATTCACATTTAAATTCAAAGTAACCTTCTTTCGATTTTATTTAACATCAATAATAATAATCAGAACTACTTTTAAATGAAACGCAATGCAATTTCCAAAACAATTTCACTTAAAAGTACCAGGTTAACGCTTCCTTTACTCTGTAATTTAGCTAGTTTATTTCTTAAGCAGAATATTTTGAAAAATCTTTTAAGATGTAAGGAATAATCATATTCCTTTCTTTCGTAATTGTGTATTGCAAGTGGTTATCATATCTAGCTAGCAAATGGAAGATCTTGATTTCAAAAATGTCACCATACTTTACATCACCTTTATGCCAGATGTTTCTGAACAAGAAGAAATCCGTGTTTTCAGATGTCTTTGAATAAGAACATTGTGTGTATAAGGGCTGTGGTTTAACCATTAAACTGTTTAGTTTTAAAATGAATTTTATTTTAAAGATACTTTTTTTTTACATTGATGACCTTCATATCAGTTGTCAAGGTGCAGATATGAGATATGTGAAGCGATAGTAACCGATCGCCATTATATAGGATCCAAAATAGTCAGAAAAACGAAACATTGGTGCTTTAGAGACCGAACTTTTTCACTTTCTACCAAATTGCGTTTGCATGCAATTTGGTAGAAAGTGAAGTACCTATCTAAAGCCTGAGTTACATCTTTATGGATCAAAGGATTTCAAAGGTAAAACGTGACCTTTATTCCCTGTGCCCTATATTTATTCATATAAGGCATGAACAATTTTCTTCATCAATATTTTAGTATTATATCACAACCTGATCATCCTAATCAGATCTGTAGAACTGATGACTGGTACAGCCTTTTATTTGCTGCACGACTTCTTCGCCTATTTCGTTTCTGAAAGAGTCAAGTCATTGATAAAAAAAATTG